GTGCTCGAATGTCCTCGTCAGAATGAATTCGACGGCCTATTTTGGTGTCATCGGCAAACTTGCCGATGTCGCTCTTTATGCCTTCATCTATGTCGTTTATGTAGATTGTGAACAGCAGGGGGCCCAACACTGACCCCTGTGGAACACCGCTCGTGACACTTCCCCACTCTGATTTCTCCCCATTAATGCAAACTCTCTGCTGCCTATTTGTCAACCATGCCTCTATCCAGGAAAAAATTTCTCCTCCTATTCCATGTGCTTTAATTTTCCTCAATAGTCTCTGATGTGGGACCCTGTCAAAAGCCTTACTGAAGTCCATATACACAATATCATATTCATTACCATGATCTACCTCCTCAAATACCTTAGTGAAAAAAGTTAATAAATTCGTAAGGCAGGAACGCCCCTTTGTAAAACCATGCTGAGATTCGTTGATTAATTTATGCTTTTCAAGGTGGCTACGAACTGCCTCGGCAATTATTGATTCCATAAATTTTCCCACTATGGAGGTTAGGCTTATTGGTCTATAGTTCGAAGCTAAGGACCTGTCACCTGTTTTGAAAATAGGTATCACATTTGCCATTTTCCACTTATCTGGCACCATGCCAGTTTGTAGTGATATGTTGAAAAGATTAGCCAAAGGTGTGCTAAGCTCCTCTTTACATTCCTTTAGAACCCTTGCATACAGTTCATCAGGGCCTGGGGATTTGTTAGGTTTTAATTTATCTATTTGCCTAAGGACCATGTCACTTGTGACCCTAATAGTGCACAGTTTATTATCGTCCTGTTCTACATAATTTATCATTACTGGAATATCGCTGGTATCCTCCTGTGTAAAAACTGAGAGGAAGTATGTTTAAAAATTCTACACATTTCCTTATCACTGTCAGTGAGCTGACCCGAGGAACTTTTGAGTGGGCCTATCTTGTCCCTGATCTTACTTCTGTATACCTGAAAGAATCCTTTTGGGTTAGTCTTCGATTCTCTTGCAACTTTAACCTCATAATCTCTTTTTGCTTTTCTAATTCCCTTTTTTATTTCTCTCTTTAACTGAATATATCGATTTCTCAATTGCCCCTCTCCTCTTTTGATTTGCCTATATATGCCTCTCTTTTGACCAATCAGATATTTTAATCTATTGTTCATCCATTTAGGATCATTTTTGTTTGATCTGATTTCCCTATTTGGAACATAATTTGACTGAGCAGCTAGAACTATGCCCTGGAAAGCATCATATCGGCAACCATCACCACCTACCTGACCCTTAGTCAGGTCATTCCAGTTCAGCCCACCTAAGTAATTTTTCAGTCCTATGAAATCAGCCAAGCGAAAGTCAGGGACGGAGACTTGATTGCCATTATTAGGGGAATTCCATGATATATTAAAACTGAGTGATTTGTGATCACTTTCCCCAAGCTCATCATTAACCTCAAGATTATTAATTAGTGTTTCCCTACTGGCTAGAACCAAGTCAAGGAGGTTATTTCCCCTAGTTGGCTCTGTCACAAACTGTTTTAAAAAAACAATCCTGGATCGTATCAAGAAAGTCACCTGACTCTAAATTTCCTGTCAAATTGCTCCAGTCAATCTGTCTATAGTTGAAATCTCCCATTAGCACAACATTTTCGTATGTAGATGCCTTACGAATTTCGTCCCATAGAAGTTTACTGCACTCCCTATCAAGATTTGGGGCCCTGTAAATCACACCCAAAATTAGTTTTTCTCGGCCCTCGAGAAGCTGTAACCAAACAGATTCAGTGGCTGACGCTTCTAATTTAATATCTTGTCTAACACAACAATTTAAATTGTCTCTGACATACATCACTACTCCACCACCTTTCCTGTTGACCCTGTCAGTGTGGAATAATTTATAGCCTTGTATGTGACATTCAGAGGGCATCTCTCTATCTTTCAGATTGAGCCAGGTCTCTGTTATAGCAATAATATCTATGTTTCCTGCACTTGCAATTAATCTTAGCTCATCTATCTTATTTCTTACACTCCTGCTATTAGTATAGTAAACCTTAAGGGAGCTAGTCCCTTGCTGCCCTCTGCTGTCCCCCTTTGTTTGCTGACCTGATCTATTGTCTTTATTTATAACTTCATGCTGAATGCCTTTTATACATTTACTGTTTCCAACCCAAGTGTTGCAACCTGCTTGTTTCCCACACACACCCATACCTCTATCTTCCATCAGTTTAAAATCATAGGCATTTCACCAATGGCCTTCTCAATCGAGTCTGCAAGTGCTACCACCCCAGCCCCAGAGAGATGTACCCCATCCCTTGCATACATATCATGTTTGCCATAAAAGTTGTTCCAGTTGTCAATGAATGGGATTGCAAGTTCCTTGCAGTATCTGTCTAGCCAGCAATTTACACCAATTGCCCTAGACAACCATTCATTTCCTACTCCCCTTCTAGGCAAGATGCTACATATGATTGGGATCCCTCCCTTAGACTTAATGAAATCTATAGCTGACCTGTACTTATCTAGCAGCTCTTCTCTCCTACCCTTCCAATATCATTTCCACCAGCACTGAGACAGATAATGGGCTTGCTCCCATTACCTGACATGATATTATCCAGCCTGTTGACAATGTCCCCAACACCAGCTCCAGGGAAGCACACTCTATCTCTCATCTTCTTATTCCTATTACAAAAAGCACGGTCAATGTATCTTACCTGAGAGTCACCAACCACAAGAATGCGCTTACCTCCATTAGCAGGGGCAGTAGTACCCTTACCTTCACTGGCCACTGAAGTACATTCATCCTGAAGAACAGAGAAGCGATTTCCTACCTTCAGATCTTCACTCTTAACTTTCCTTACTCTGATGCGCCTTCCATTACTGTGAACTACTCGCCACTTGTAGCAGGTGCTGGGCTGCTCCTCACTGCTGGTAGCCGTTGCTGCCTCCCCAACTACAGCCTCCCCACAGCGAGAGACAGACTGCACCTCGCTGCTAGAAGCCTCATTCCCCACAACTCCAGCCACCTCACACTCTCTCCCAGACCCATTGAGGTGGACCTTCAGCCTCCTAATCTCCTCCTGGAGAAGCAAGACCTCCTCCTTCAACTCTCCAACCTCAATTTTTAAAACACTGCAGAAGCAAGCCATGCTTTGTAACCGTCCACACTAATCCCCAAAGCAGCTCAGGGTCTGTGACCTCACGTGACGACTGACCACTGAGTACTGACATAACTAGACAGACAAACAGACATGTTTATGTATAACAATGAAAACAAAGCCAGGGGTTCCCTAGAGCAATGCACGATCATCAAGTGTCAAACCACTGCTGCACTGTCAGCAGTTTAGTGACGCTCAGTCTTACACCATGCTTCAAAGAGTTTCATATATACTCCAGTGTGTCTAAAACATTGCTGGGACCTATAAATATTTTGTATATATTTCTAGACAATAACAAATGACCAAGGCAGGTGAAAATGTTCACCTGTCAGTGTGTTTGTGGCTATCTGAGTACAATTTCAGTACCTAATATTAGTGTCAGAACAAAGATTGACTATGAAATTACAAGAACTACTATAAACTGTAATTATGAGTACATAAAAATTATATAAAATAATAAAAGCACGAGGAAAAAAGGTACATCGACAACACTTCTGTAAGCGGCAGGACTCCATGTTGCCGTCAAGTGAGCATCCAGCACCAACTTCGCTGTCTTATATCTCGGAAAGTACTGGTACTAAATTTTTTTTCCTTGGTCTTATTACACACAGAAATTTGCCCTCTTTAATTTAACCCTTTGACTGTCGAGGTCGTATATATATGTCTTACGAGGTACCGTGTTTGACGTATATATACTCATAAATTCTTGCGGCTTCAAATCAAGCAGGAGAAAGCTGGTAGGCCCACATGTGAGAGAATGGGTGTGTGTGGTCAGTGTGCACCATATAAAAAAAATCCTGGACCATGCAGTGCATAATGAGAAAAAAAAACTCCAACCGTTTTTTTTTAATTAATATGCCGACTTGTGGTCTATTTTCGTATAGTATTTATGGCTGTATTCTCGTTTTCTTGGTCTCATTTGATAGAATGGCAAACATATTATAGAAATAGAGTGATTTTGATTGATTTTACTATAAAAAGAACCTGGAAATGGACCTCAAAGTAGGGGAAATGTTTGATTTTTACCAATGTTCAAAAGTAAACAAATGATGTCATTGTCCAATAAATGCCCAACTAGCCATTCTAATATGCAGTCATGAATGGGTTGATGTTATTTATACAATTATTACAGTATTGCAGTAGTCTGCATAACAGTAAATCTTCTAATTTTTGTTTGAATAAAAATTCAAAATAGAAAGCAAGAGTAATATCAGAGGGGCTTGGAGACATGACTGATGAACAAAGAAAATGTTATTTTAGAGCCAGGAATGTCTGCATCGTTCATTCTGGACCTTATTTTGAAATTGTCATATTTTTTAATTTTCGTGAAATTGGCCAAATTGCAAATTTCTGACCACGTTATTGGGTAGTTGAAATTGGTAAATGGGCAGTTTCTTGTACTCAATCGATAGAAAAAATGGAGTTATAAAGAAATAGCTAAGAGTTTGGCTGACTAGAACAATGGAATTAGCCGAAAATAGTGCTCAAAGTGCGCGAAATCGCTGATTTGTAAATAATGCCAAGGTCGCTAACTTCGCGAGAGCGTAATTCCGTCAGTGTTCCATCAAATTTCGTGTTTTTGGTGTCATTACAATCGGGAAAAGATTCTCTATCATTTCATAAGAAAAAATAATTTTTTTTTTGTTTTGAAATTTTGCGACACCAGGAGACACTTCAGGATTGGGGGTTGCGACAGTCAAGGGGTTAAAAAAAAAAACTATTTTTTTTTTAATATTCAGAGTGCTGGGCGAGAGAACGCATATCTACGTATGGACAGTTAATGGGTTAATAGGCAAAAGTAAATCATGTTTGTTAATGTTGTCACTTTTGGAATTATTTATTTTGTAGAAGTGCATCAGCAACATAACTCACCATATATTCCATGCCTGAGTATTAAGTATGAGGCAGTGAGGGTCAGAATGTGGGGTTCGGTAATGGAGAAGAGCATGTTGCTCTTTTGTGTTGCGATCACAGCCTTGATGTCCACAATAAAGGCACAACCAAATGACTGGTGTATAGGTATCCTGCAAATTACAAAATAAGGAATACGGTAATATAAAATTCATATAAAATAATTTATCAATGGTTTTCTTAATATATTAACCGAAAATAACTTAGCAACTAAATTCAAAGTTTACCTCTTCAATCTTTCAGAGAATTTTGGTGGCTCCACAGAAAAAAAAAAAAAATCAAAATAGGTAAAATCAGCAAGAATACAAACTATTTAGAAAATTTTCAAAAACACACACTAGGACACAGGCAGACAAGCCAGTATGATCTACCCTTAGATCAAATATAAGAAAGAATTAACGAAGAGTGTTAGGTATAAATGAAAACCGTATGGCTAAAACAGTGTATCAGTTAGACCAGACCAGTCCAGTGAGGAAAGGATAAAAAATTAAATTATAAATTCTGATACTGACAGAAAGCAAAATCATGAAAAGTGGAGAAAAGTAAAACTTATTTACAAAGTTTTTATATGCAAATATAAATGGAGTAAATGTAATCTAAAAAAAATCAGAATCAAAGAACATTAAATAAGAAACCTAAAACAGAGTCAAGTTAAAACAAAAATAGAAAAACATTCTAAATGAAATACATTTGAGAGAACAGACTCAATCTGAGAACAAACACAACAGGAGAGAAAAGTGGATAGGCAACTTTGGTAAATGAATCACTTCAAGTTACAGATATTAAAATCTAAAATATATAACTTATGTCAAAATTCTAACGATAGAAACTGAGAATAAAGATAAAAAAAACTTTTAAATGTGTATTCACATATTAAACTTTTTAACAACACATGCAAGAAAGAATTTGAAAAGATGTTATTATGAATATGTATTTCACCATGCTTAAGCAAGTTCAATTTTATGATGATTTAACAACTTCCATGAATTCCTCTATTCTACACCAAATTTCAATAAAATAAATGTGATGTATCAAAACAGTTGGAAGAGGAAATACTGTGTCCACTTTAGAAAGCTACAGAAAATGCTTGCTGATAATGAAAATGCAGACATTACTAATAATATAATTCCCTTGTGTTCTAAAGTTGTTTTATAATATACATTAGCAATAGCAATGTATTCTTGTATCCCTTATTATATTAAAATTAAATAAACAGCATGTGTTAAAACATGTGGAAAAGAAAACACTGCAGTACTGTATCAAACCTTTCATTGTACATTACAGAAATTTCACATTCCAGCGATTCCCACAATGAAATGTGTACTACAGTTACAGTTTTAAAAATGCAGTGTTAGAATGTGTGGAAGAAATGTGTGGCTATAGGATGGTGGATGCAAAAGGAAAGAGGAGTGATTGGTAGAATGATGAAGTAAAGGGTGTGATAAGAGAGAAAAAGGTAGCTTAATTAAGGTAGCATAAGTGTTATAAGAAGAGCAGAGAGTAAAAGAAAGGTGAAGAGAGTGGTGAGAGAGTGCAAATGGAGAGCAGATGATAGAGTGGGAGAGGCACTGTCAAGAAATTTTGCAGAAAAATAATAAACTTTGGAGTGAGAAAGCCTAGGGAAAGAATGGATTTGTCAGTTAAAAACAGAGTAGGGGAGTTAGCTGATGGGGAGCTGGAGGTATTAGGTAGATGGCGGGAATATTCTGAGGAACTTTTAAATGTCAATGAAGAAAGGGAGGCGGTAATTTCATGCACTGGCCAGGGAGGTATAACATCTTTTAGGAATGAAGAAGAGCAGGACGTGAGTGTGAGGGAGGTGCGTGAGGTACAGTAGGGCCCCACTTATATGGCGGTTTAGGTTCCAGGCTATCGCCAGAAAGCAGACATCGCCGGAAAGCAGAATGCCATTTTTTCCATTTATAAATGCATACAAATACCAGACAACAAGTTTACACTAAATTATAGGCATTAAAGACACAGTAAAAAGTAAAATACATACACAGTACATTCATTACTTACCCTAAAGTATGTATTTGTAATCTTAATGTAGGGTGAGAGGTGAGTAGTACTTATTTGTAGGAAGTCAGGTGCAGGTAGCACAGGTGTAGGTAGCACTGGCTCCCCATCTCATACTAATATACGAGATATAAAACAGCCCAGAGTTAAAATACACATACAGTACACTCATTATTTACCTTAAAATATGTGTAGTCTTAATGTACTAAGAGAGGTGAGTAGTATTTATTTGTAGGAAGTCAGTGTACGTAGCCTGCCTGGGCTACACCTACTGGTTACCTACACTGTGGCCCAGAGCCATATTATTAGCATCGACATACCTTGTTCACTGAATTTAATCGTTTTTAACAACTACCTTTAGATGCCATCATAAACGAAGGGAGAAGTAATGAATAATTCATGCCGAAAATTGTAAACAAAAGCGGAGTGGGGGAGTGGCTCGCCCAAACGCAGGTTCATACACGTTTTCTCTGATGGCTGAGCAGAGAAAACGTAATGTTATCCCTCTGCCCGGCTACCACACGGGTCCAAAAGTATTATTATCAGAACACACATAAAATATGCAATAAATGCCAGACAACAAGTTTACACTAACTTATATTAAGTTAGCAATATAAATAGGCATTAAAAACACAATAAAAACAAAGATACACACAGAGCACACTTATTACTTGCCTTAATATATTAATATTGTGTGAGAGGTGAGTAGCAGGGTGTTTATTGAATAAAATCAGATGGTACACCATCATCTGATTATTCAACTTTTATTCGTTTTGGAGACTTGTGTGAAGCTCTTGAAGGAGTGTGTGTTGCTGTTTATGTTGAAGACTGTTCAAGGCTAGCTGTTGATGTTGAAGGCTGTTCAAGACCAGATGTTGATGCTGAAGGTTGTTCAAGACTAGCTGTTGATGTTGAAGGTTGCCCAAGGGTAACTGTTGATGTTGAAGGTTTCCATGATACTTTAGTAAAGTAGGAAAGCACTGAACTTTGCCTCAGGGATTTTTTTTCCTTTCCCTTAAAATTTCTTTATAGCATGTAACATCATGGGAAAGGGATGCATTCACTTTTAAACTTCCTTCAAAATTTGGATCAATTTTCTCAAAAATTGTCATTGCTATTTCTATATAGTTAATAGCTTCTTCCAAATCCTGGGTTTTCATTTCTTTAATGGCAACAGGACTATCATCAGGATGGATCTCCTCTTCATGAAACTTCTTTCTTTGCTCTTCAATGAGAAGATCTTCATCTGTTAGAGGCTCATCATGAGAAAGAAGCAATTCTTTCACAACCTCAGGCTCCACTTCCAATTCTAAGTCCCTTGCCATATCCACAACATTTACAGTCACTTCATCCACTGGATTTTCAAAGCCTTCAAAATCGTCCATAAGTTCAGGAATTAGATTTTTCCAAACACCTTTGAGTGTAGTTTCTTTAACTTCATTCCAAGCATCTCTAATATTTTTAATACCATCCAAAATAGTGAAACCTTTCCAAAAGGTTTTTAATTTATTTTGTTTAGGCCCAGGCATTTTTTCATTGTCTAGGAAATTTACAGCCTTAATGAAAGTTCTTCTTAAGTAATAAGATTTAAAGGTTGCAATTACACCTTGGTCCATCGGCTGCAGTAATGAAGTTGTGTTTGCAGGTATAAAAGCAACATTTATCTCCTTGTACATACCATTTAGAGCTGTAGGGTGGGCAGGGGCATTGTCTAAAACAAGTAAAACATTAAAAAGAAATTTTCTTTTCCTTGCAGTAAGCCTCAACTGTAGGCTTAAAATAGTCCGTGAACCAATTTATGAAAAGATCGGCAGTCATCCAAGCTTTCGAATTGGATTTATAATAAACAGGGAGGCTGCCTTCTGCATAGTTCTTTAAGGCCCTAGGATTCTCTGAGTGATAAATCATCATAGGTTTTAACTTGCAATCACCAGCTGCGTTAGCTCCTAGCAAGAGTGTTAACCTGTCTTTTGCAGCTTTGAAGCCAGGCATTGACTTCTCTTCTTTAGCAATAAATGTCCTAGATGGCATCTTCTTCCAAAATAATGCAGTTTCATCCACATGAAAAACCTGTTGCTTGGCATATCAATTACATTCTATTATCTCGGCCAGCCCACGTGGATAATTTTCTGCAGCTAAATTGTCGGCACTTGCAGCTTCACCCTGCACTCTGATGTTGTGAAGTTGACCTCTTTCCTTAAACCTATTAAACCAGCCTCTGCTAGCTGCGAATTTATCTTCAGCAGCTTCCTCACCTCTCTCAGCCTTCATAGAATTGAAGTTTTTCCATGTCAGCAATAAGGTTATCACGTTTTCTTATAACTTTAGTGTTCACTGGTGTAGCACTTTTAATTTCCCGCAACACTTTCTCCTTATTGTTCACAACATTACTAACTGTTTGACGAGCCAAACCAAGCTTATGTGCTATCTCAGTCATAGACATACCATGTTCACTCAGTTTAATCATTTCTAACTTGGCACTTAAAGCAAGAGGCTTACGACTCCTCTTTTTTTCACACCTAAGCTTAGACGCCACCATCAATGAGAGCCAACTAGTTAACAAAAGAGTAAACGAGAAAGAGAACGAGATACAGAGTTCAGACAACGTAAGAACACAAATTGAATAGGTAGTGGGCGATCAGGTCAGGCGAAATAAATGCGTATTAATGTCTACTTTTAGTTCATTCATGTACGTTTGTAAGAGTTTGTAAAATTTTTACCTCACAATATTTTTTTATTATAATAATAATTACCTCACAATACAAACTCTTACATTGTGTACAAGTTGTACAAGTTAGTACAGAATAAACAAACAGCAACACTCCCATTCTCATGCAATACATTATTTTTAGAGTGAATGATGATATTATTATTATTATTATTATTATTATTATTATTGTCATAAAAAAGAAGCACTAAACCCACGAGGGTCGTGAATTGCTATATATAGAGTGAAGGCATACGAAAGGAATATTTTTCTACAGTTATCCCCCAGTTTGACTAGAGAAAACGTAATTCTCCGACACTACACACAGCCGCTTTGTAAACAAATCTCATATTTACGTTAATTTTTATTCTGTGAGTGTATGTATCA